AGTGGTGCGATTAATACTGGTGCAACCACCTGCCTCAATTCTAGCCATCCTATGGATGGACTTCTGGAGTTGCATTTTTAAGGAGTTTATATGCATTTTCAAGTACTTCTCCACTTAATCTTCCAGTTCTTTCTCAACAGTATATTATACAGCATAAATAACCTTTACATGCAGTAGCAATATAATATCAGGGTATTATATTTCAAAAAGAGGGGAAAAAAATGAAACGACTGTCATGATAGCAAGTCTATCACTCGTTAAAGAGAAATGCTCATTATTTATAATAAAAAGCAACACTTATTTGGTAGAATAAAAAAAAAACTCCAAATTTACAAGTATCACATCTAATTCCACAATCCAGCTCTAATACGTTAAGTCAGGCAGAGAGAAAATTATTTAAATCCACAAAGGAAACTTGGGGTCCTGGTTGCATACAGTAGTGTGGATGACAATTTTTTGATCAAGAAGGGTAACACAATCCTAGCATCTGGTCTAACTGCATAAAGAAATGGCATTTCATCAACTGTTAATGCAGCATTTTTAAAGGAGCAAACCAGGATCCAAATATTTTGAAAATAATCTTGAGACACTTATAAGAACATGGCCCACTTGTTCTTTACCTAGCAGCCACCAATATTTCTGAGTAAAATCATTTAAATTTTGGAATAATTTGTATTTCGTACAATATGAAACTAGAGTTCTGAAAAGCCTTCACATCTGTACATATGAAAGAAGAATATGACCAGTATAGAACAGAATGGAAGAACTCGTGTTTCTCAAGCAGAGAGGGGGAGAAAAACTGAAATTCACACCTGATAAATAAATAACAACTGTGTGCCATCAAATCAGTTCTGACTTATGGTGACCCTTTTCTGGATTTACTAGCTAAAAAGTACTCAGAAGTGGTTTACCATTCCCTTCTTCTGCCCAAAGTCATACAGGCTCTTCACTGGGGAATTCAACTCCCAAACTTTGGCTCTGCAACCATATACCTAACTCACTGAACTATCCTGCCAGCTCACATCTTATAAGCAGGGGACTACAGTATATCCTAAGGATATAAAGGAAGTTTTATTACGTAACCCAGCAAACCCCTTTATCAACAGGGATAACTTTTCACACAGCCCCCTCTCCTGTGACTCTGACAAATATAGACGAGTTACTGCGGTGCCCCTGAATTTTTCATGATAACTTATGGCCTATGTTTAGGAGAGTAAATTCATACCAAAGACTGGACCAATATATAGAAACAAAAGCAGCCTCAAAATCTATTGAAACACTGTAAAATGAGATGGAATGGTATGGAATGTCAATATCATTACACCTTTATACAAGATATGAAGCACATAAAATTATATATGCCGTGGAGGAAATGGTTATATGATTTACTCCTTTGCTCGCAATATTACAACCAGGGCAGTCACATTAAGTCTAATAATGGAGGATTCAGGACAGACAAAAGGAAATATGCATTATCAGTGTGGAATTTACTCCTACGGATATGGTAAATTATTTATTTTATTTAAAATATTTTTACCCTGCTTTTCTCCTAAAAAAGGACCCAAGGTGGCTTACATTGCTAAAACCACAATATTAAAACTAAAAACAGAAATGGTTTAAAGCATAGGAGTAAGCTGTGAACCTTTGTTATTAGTTCCCCATGGTTATCTGTAAGAAACAGGGGTGGCCCAGATACTCATGGGATGCCCATAACAGAGCTTCCCTCAAACCTGAATGCAGTTGAACAACTTCTTGGTCTTGCTGGGTCACGGTGGGCCCTACGCTAAAACTCATGAAGGGCTGCATCATCCACTGACTGCTACACCTGCCCTAGGTTGCCACAGAATACTTAATAATTTTAGAATGGCAGAGTTGGAAGGGACCCTATGGGTCATCAAGTCCAGCCCCTCTCAGGGAAGCAAAGTGGGGAATTGAAATCCTAAGCTCTGGCTCCACAGCCAGAGACTTAAACCACTGAGCTATACAGCAGTTCATACTGCGTACTTACACATAATCATGCTTCTGTAGAAAATCAGGAAGATGTAGAGGAGGAAGCCCTGCTAGAGGGGAGCTAGGAGGGCAGCCATGACTATATTTTGGAGGATGGTGCCCCTATGGTCACTGCTGCAGTGCCAGTGCTTGTTTGGATAATATGACTGGGGTAGCAGCAAAATAAAATGATGGAGAATGAAAAATGATATTGAAGGCCTATGTGCCCTATGAACTTAGAAAATCTGCTTGAAATGAGAGAAAATCGGTCTCAGGAACTATATGCTATTTACTGCTAGGTAGCTTCAGAAACCAAAAGAAGATGGAGTAAGCTTTCCTTTGTTTCCATTGTAGACCCAACATACTGAACACTGAGCTAAGAAAATGGACACATTTTGAGACAGGACTTTTCATTTTCCTCAGCCCAGATAGTTCTTTGTTTGAGAACTTGTGGCTAGAGCATAGTCAGTGGTCCCTATTATGGAGCAAAGAAGCACAGGGAGACAATGGATATGGGGTAAGAAGAAAGCCAATTTTCCTTTTTGCCTCACCCTTCTTTCCCTCCTCCACAGATGTGCCATGTGTGCCTTTCAGACAATGCTGAACAGCAACTCCCATCATCACTAGCTATGTTGACAGGAGTCCAGCAATGTCCAGATACTGACAGGGGTCCAATAGTATGCTTCCTCCATATTCTTCAGATTCTGAAGCTATGTAGCAGCTATCTTGACACTGTCAACTATACAGTCCTATCTCTATATGGTTGACAATGGCAAAATGTTCAGTGTTCATTTTCTTAGTTCAGTGTTCAATACCTTAGGCCTACAGTGGAAACAAAGAAAAGCTTGCTCCTTCATTTTAGATTCTGAAGCTGATAACTGCCTTGTGCAAACTTGCTGAAGTACTGACTCCAAATATAGCTAATTAGCAGTATGGTCACATATTGCTGCTTCCTTGTGTATTCTTATCTCCAAAGCACATTTTTTACTACAAAAAATATAACCCAAAGTAAGAACTTGTAAACATTGTGATAAACGAAACGGATTGTAATATTGTTGGTTGTTGTGGGTTTTTCAGGCTCTTTGGCCGTGTTCTGAAGGTTGTTCTTCCTAACATTTTGCCAGTCTCTGTGGCCGGCATCTTCAGAGGACAGGAGTCAGAATTCTGTCTGTGCTCTGGTAATATTCCTTAGCTTGTAACATTCCTTAGCTTAGAAATAGCCTAAAGATTTAAGATTACTTTGCAGAAATAGAAGGCTGTATTTCCAGAGGGGATTTGTTCCTAACATGTGGAAAAGGGGTTAAATTTAATATTGTAGAGGGAATATAAAATGGATGACAAAGTCATGCCTGTAAAAGTCAATGTAAAATGGTTGACTGATAACATGCAGCTGGAACAAGCTTAGGTAGTGCTTGTTAACTACGTTCAGCTGCATTGTCTGTAGTGATAGGCTGCTATTACTATTTAAGAAGAAGAGTAGGAACAGCACATGGCTACACAGTAGTAAGTCTGGTGGTCTTTACTTTTTTGAATGTCTGTGTTGCTCTAGGAGATTTATGCACAAGCTATGTATATATGTATGATCTATGCTGATATATGAAGTCTGAATATAGTATGCTATAAGTGCTTATCAAACTCTCTTGGTGTTTTTCCTGGACCCTCCACATCTTTATTCTGCTTATTAGAAGGGAGGATTTGAAGCTGCGTTATAAGAGACTCTGTTGAACCTGTTATCTTGGACTCAAAGGTTTCTTTTCACTAACAGAATGCTCTTGGAGTTTCAATATCCTAACACTGACTCCAAGCTTCTGGAGAGGCAAATGCCACATCTGTTTTTGGAGTTGGCACCCAACCAACACGTGGATTCTCAATGATTATCTTTACAAGATAATGACAAATGTTGCTGATCATTCTGAATGTGAAGATTTCAGAAAGGTTTCTTCTCTTTTCCTATCTGCCATTTCTTTTCACAGAGGTAGATCATTTTCTAAATTTAAATTTACTTGTTTATTTAATTTCTATCTCTGTGGAGGAACTCATGGAGGCTTACAAATTGTCTGAAAGCACAAATATTAAAACTTACTAAAAGCAATTAAACACACAAATTATTAAAATACAGAAAATAAAATCCCTTTAGAATAATTTTTAAAAATATGTTTTAAATGCTTAAAATACTTCCCCCTTTAAATCTCTTCCCTAGCAGTTGTTTTCATGCTGCCTGAAAAGAAAGGTCTTTGTCTGCCAACAGAAGGACTGCAGAGCAGGCGCCAGCCTGGTCTCCCATGTGGCGGGGGAGTTCCACAGTCTGGAAGCAGCTACCAAAGGCCCTCTCCCATGTCCACACCAAACTTGTCTGTGAGGGTGATGGGAACATAAGAAAGGCCTTACCCAAAGATGTTAAGGCTGATATGGAAATATATGGTCCCTCAAAATAGTCTGGGCCCAGGTTTTTAGGGCTTTATTCATTAAAACCAACAACATTCTGAATTTTCCCTGGAAATAGACTGGTAGCCAGAAAAGCTGTTTAACCTGGAGTTTCTCTTCTCCCTGTAACTAGTTTCAGTTAGGAATCTAGCTGCAGCATACTGGACTTGCTGAAATTTCCTACACTGGTATTGATGCAAAGTTTTATGACTCTTAAACTGCTAGAGGCTTTTGTAGATTTTTAAATGATTAGGGAGATAATGATTAACTGAGAATGACCTGTCATTCTTCCTATAGTTACAGGAGGTCCTTAGACAGGACTTACAAAGACAATTTTTTTTGTCAAAAACAAAAGAGAGACTGAGAGGTAGGTACATTTATGCTGAACTTCCCCAGGAAAGTATACATGTAAGTTATGAATGCTTTAATTAGCATAATGTTTGAAGAAACATGTTTTAAATTTTAAATGTACTAGCCAAAAGTCTCTTGACCTAAACCAGCATATTCTGCGGCACCAATTTATAATATCTAAGAATGATTCAACTAGGAATAAAAGCACAAGCTATTTCCTACAACTAAAAACTTACCAATAGCCTTTGTGTAGTGCCTTGCACCAAGTAACAATTCTGGGGCTCTGTACCAAAATGTTACCACAACTGGATCCAGATCTGCCAGTGGCTTAAGGGGAGAATTGAATAATCTTGCAAACCCCATATCAGCTGAAAAACAAATAATATTTTTATTACATTAAATGCAAACATTTCAAAACTAAACCACACCATACTGTGATTTTTATTTTTTCCCACTGTTCCATTCAATTTCAGTGAATTGAAAGGTTGGTCAGGATCTCATACATACAGCCTTATTCCTCAGTTTGCAACTTTCTTACAACACCTGCCTTGTGCTCCCATTTGTTGATCTGGTATAAGCGCTTGACTGAAAATTTAAAAACTGCTGCCAGACAGTGTGTATGTATTAGCAGCTGCTAGCATTGCTGGTACCCAAACTGCACCATAACTCTTTCCTGGTCTCTTGTGTATTTAAGAACTTTAATTCCTACTCTTTCTAACCATCTTCAGTTCTGCATGTTCATAGTCATTGTTAGATCTGCCAGACAGTAGAATAGAGACTCTTACATGATTACTTGAAATGTATGAACAAAAACAGCTAAAAAGTTATGCAATTGTTCATATTATTTCTCAGAAATTCACATCCAACTTATAGTGACTCTTATAGGGTTTTCAAGATCAGTGTGATATTTAAGAAGTAGTTTATTAGTACTGCTGTCCCAAGTGAGCTTTCCTAGCTGAGCTAAGTGGGGAGTCAACACCACATCTCCTGAGTCCTACTCTATCACTCTGTCCACTATAGCACACTGGATATAATACAGATGCTCACCAATAAATCTTGTTGTATCATTCTGACCCAAACTAACTTAAGCTAGAACAGCATCATCATCCAATTTATTTCAAACAGCCACAAAGTACGCCAAATATATTCTAACACTAAGCCACCATTAGAAAGCACAATATAGTACAGAAATCTAATTAACTTATATCCTAAATAAATACTTAACTGATTATTATTAAAGATAATCTTGTCCTGTCCTTGAGGTAATAACACTAACAGAATAAAGCAATAATCACAATAAAATCAGCATTCTAGTTAAAGTCTGAAGATTAAAAAAAAACATCAGATGCTTGGGAAAATGTTTTTATCTGGTACCAAATAAATAAAATGAAGACAATACCAAAGAAGAATCTCTCAGAAAGACGCTCCTTAAAATGTGTGTTACGACTGAAATGATCCTGTATTTGTTCACAATACACCTTAGTTTCAATGGTGAAGGGCCAGTAAGTAATTTCAGAAGCTAGTTTTAGTAGCTGGGCAGAGTCATGCAGGAGATTTTCCTTGTCAAGATTAAATCTGGGACAGAAAGACCCACACAAACCATTCAGCCACACTTCTCAGATTTTCCTGGGAAGAAAAATTTGGAGATTTTTTCCCATTTTCTCACTGGGAGAAAATCTCCCTCTCTGGTACCTCTCCCAACACTCTGAGTCACACTGACTTCTCAGTGCTTCAGGGAGTTACCAAAAATTCACAAAATTACGCGCTTTAACTTGCATGCCAACCTTGTCAGGAAGCATGAAGAGGAGAACAAGATTACGGTTAAGTCGGAGAGTGAGCCATCACCTTGATTGTCTGGGGCAGAAGGAGCCAACCTTATGTCCACCTTGCCTATGGGAATGAAAGACCTAACTATAATAGAAGTGGTGACTTAAGTGTGGGGGAAAGAAAAGGCGGGAACAGGAGGGAAGGTAATAGGTTTCTTGATGACAGAGGAGGAGGAGGAGAGAGAAAGAAAAGCTGGGGTTTGGAAGAGTGGGTTAGTCCAAAACAGGAGGTAAAAGAGGAAGGCAGCATAAAGAGAGAGGAGGAAGAACCTTATGTGTTCAATGTGCCAGGAAGCGATGAAGCAAGGAAAGAGAGAAGTGGGGGCTATATGCGAGGACAAAGAGGTCAAGGTCTAGAAATACAATTGGGAGAATTGGATCCCTTGGAATGGACCGTATATGTGTACCCGCAGGGGAAAGGTCCCTGAAGGAAGGTGGTCTGGCCAGATCCTATTCCAGTGGCTCAGACACCTCGTGAGGGAGATTGGGCCCATCACCCATGTTGTGGAACCATCTGTGTGGTGAGGAGAAATGCTATGAGAAGGCCAATGGACAGGGAGGGATTTGGAGCATCTTCGGGTTAAGAGACAATGAAATAGTTAATTGACTTCCTATGTTATGGACTGAGTCTTTGTTAGCAGCCGGTCCTCTTGGTCCAACAGAAGTTATTGTTGATTCCCCTTCCCCCTTTGAAAGTAAATGTTTGGTTGATAAGACTGTCTTCTGTGGTTAATTCCACCAAAAAAGAGGAACTGCTTAGTTTTATACCTGAACCCAATCACAGGTAGGAACACCAAAATACAAAGGAACTAGTTGGTGCGCAAGATAAGGCATTTCTTTAGAATGAATTCATCAACCCTCTATTCCCAAAAAACCACATTGCTGCAAATTAAATAATATAAAATTTTATATTATTAAAGATGTTGCCTAAAAGTCAAAAGAAATAAAATTCAAATCTGTTTCAAAAAGTAAGCTCAAAACTCCAAAAGCAATCCCAGAACAAGCTAACAAACCTGAATTTCAAAGGCCTGAAACCATCATCCCCTCTTTTCCCTGTTTCTTGACAGTCCTTCAGCTACTCTAGTCCTAAGACATTTAGGACATTATAGGTTAAAAACATGAATTTAGCTCTGTCTGAAATCAGAAGCAGAAAAGGTATGAACAGTCATATACTTTGTACCAATAAGGATCCCTGTAGCATCCTGAAGTCAGACCTATTTTTAGATGTGTGAGCTTTCTGAATGCTACCACCCATATATATCAGAAGTATGAAGTGGTATGTTTGGCATGCACAACCGAAAGTACATTAAAAATATAAAGAATTAAAGATTGATACCTTGAATGCTCTTTGTTGGAGTAGAGAGACAAAATAAAAATGCAACAAACAAATGAATGTAGGATATAATCAGCTATAAGCCAATTCAATTATATCAAAATCAGAAGGAGGTGTGGCCCATGGCCACTATTATTAGAGGACTCGTAGTCATTTCTGTTATAGATGAACACAGCTGATTGCCTGGAATTCATATAACATAGTTCTGGAGAACCTGGAAGCCTGCATAATCTTTTGTAGTGGGGAGACCTGCTGAACAAGGTAGGCCATGACAGAGGGGAATAAGGGGAGGCTGGAAGGTTCTGCTCTGAAGCAAGTGCTACTCTTAGCATCAGTAGTTGCACCTGCAAATGCATATTGTTAAAACACTTACCTATTTTTACTCTTCCTCTTTCAGGACCTTCTCCCATTACCAGAATATTTGCTGGCTTCTGGAAAACAAAGAAATACTTAACTCACTCTGTGGTACAACATTAAACAAAGTGTTGTGCTTATATTAAAAGTTTATAGTGCTCATGTCATGTTTACTTGTCTTCCCTGAAACAGCCATTATATATTTTTGTCACCAATATATCTTATCAATCCCTTCTTGCCTGTGATGGCTAGAAAACAAGGTTGGTTGTATTTGCATGGCTAGTCAGGAACCTCTATTAATATGAAAGAGAAATCATCTAAGCCAGGGGTCTCAAACTCAATTTACCTGGGGGCCGCTGGAGGCAGAGTCTGGGCCGCATCAGATTTTCCACCAAGTGAAGCAAGAGCCCGAGAAAGCTGCCCAGGAGTTTCCTTAGCCCGGCTGGGGCTCCGAGGAGGAGGGGCGTGCGAGCCCTCATTGCCAGCCACAACCCCCTCCCCGGCTCCTTCTTCACTACCACCACCACCAGCAGCAGCAGGATGAAGAAGCGGAGAAGGGAGGGAGCGCCAGCAACCGCCTAGCCGGGGGGGGGAGGGGGAAGGCACGACATAAATTTTTTTAAAAACCTCACAGAATCGCCTTGCCAGAGGAGAAAATCCCCATCGGTACCTGCAAAATTAAACAGAATGGGACGGGGGGCCCAACAGTTGTGTGCGCACGCACGCACACAGAGGCACTGTCTTGGGAGAGAGCCAGCAAGTGAGGCGAGGCATTTTATTTTAATCTTGAAAGCAGAGGACACATGGGCGCTTTAGGGGGCAGGCAAGGCGGGGGCCACAAACTATCATCCAGTGGGCCGCAAATGGCCCCTGGGCTGCATGTTTGAGACCCCTGATCTAAGTTATCCATACTCCTGGAAATATCAAGCCAAAACTCCTCCCATGTAGCAACTACAGTGCCATTTTGACATTCACTAAGAGTCCTAAGTATGTGAGCTTCCAAATAGCACACGTTCCCACCCATCATAATGTGCACTTCCTTCTTCCAGAAAAGCAGAGATAATTAATCTTTATTTTTCCTTCAACTGGAAATTCTCCTTTTAGTTGCTTCTCTTATTGTGTGCTTGCTGTGTCTTTTTCAGTGCTGTTTTTAAACTGTGCTTTCATCTTACATTTTAATCAACATTTCAGTTGTAATTTCTTTTTTATTGTTGTCTTCCTTGATTACCAATTTTGGCAGGAAGTTGGGATACAAATGTGACTAATGAAATAATATATATGTATATAAATAATATACTTTTGTGATGAGCTAGAGGCTAATCAATATGGGCAGATAGCATGGCTATAGCTGAAATTAGAAATTATGTAGCTATTATTCATATTAGGTAGTTATTATAATTTATTAAAAAGCAACAATTCTATGCCAAGATAATATCAAGATCTCTAACTGTTAACTTCAGATCAATCAAAATAAAGAGCACTGGAAGAGCATGCCTCCTGTCTTGGACGTTAACATTTCATTCAAACAGAAGTAAAAGCATTCAGTAGCTCCTACTGGCATATCAGACTTCTTTTAAAAGAATATAGACTTACTAATTATTTTAATACATACTAATTATTCCAACATTTCTGGCTCATTTAAGGTAACACCCATGCCTCCACTGTTTAACTGAACTTCCCCACTCTTCATTTTCCTGCATCCCATCTTCTCAAATTTAATCTAGAGGATTCCACCCCTCAACCATCAAAGCAGACTGTGGATCCATATGTAGCTGCAGTGGGAGAAGAATCCATTTCATCAGCAGCGTCTGCTCTGTTGCTGAATGGATATGACTGGATTTCACACTGAGTTATATACACTGTGTATTATACAACCTAGTCTTTCTGAATGTGAAGCACAGAAACTCCCATTACGTGCCATGCTAGCTGAATACGATGGGAACTTTAGCCCAACACATCTTGAGAACACCAGATTGGGAAAGGCTACCTAGAAGCTCAGCATACTCTGAACAGAAGCTGCCAGCTGTTATAGAAAATGATGGTCCTGGATCAGCCTATATTTAGTTGCTATAGAAACAAAAAGGTTAGATTTGGAATCTCATGTTTAAATTACCAGTAATAAAAACTGAACAAACACATCCCTGCTGTGACAGAACTATGAAGTCTGACTGTGCAGTGAAGTTGTCAATGAAGACTGAACAAGATCAATAACAATAAAATTGAAACATCTGCTGCAAAAATGTGTATATTACAATTTTAAACAAATTCCTTAAAGCAGTAAACATGTAAGTGATCAGATTTTCTTTCCTTAGGCTAGTGGGTACAAGGCAACCAATCAATCTTCAGATGCAGAGAGAAAAGAGAAATGGAGAAGCTAAAGCGAAGAGTAGAGAGAAATGAAAGGAAAAGAGGAAACGGTGGAGAAAAGGTAAGGCTATTGTACCATGTTCCTGAAGAATAAAACACATTTTATGTCAGACAGATCTCAAACCATAAGAACATTGCTACTGCACGCATTTAATGTGGCTACAATCAACTATTTAGCATGGAGGTGGTCAGAAAGGAGCCAGCAAAAACAAACATCAGTAAAACTGTCTGCAGTTTTGAATAAGAGGAACACAACTGATTACATGATAAGAGAAACAAAGGATAACAGAATGCTAGTATTTACTAGCCCTTGCTGTTCTCAAGCTTATCTAGGATATAATTCTTTAGACATATGACATTCCCATGAGAAAAAGGTTCTCCTCAGGGTGTTGCTCCTTTCCATTCACTTTTTTTAAAAAACACATTTATATCAAAACAAAAGCTACTTAGTTTTTTTAACACTCTCTACATCAAAACAAGAAGTTGTACAATGACTACTATCATACATAAAGACACATAGGTTACTGATTCATTCATCGAGGATATTAGAGAAAGATGAAATTTTCAACCTTCTCTCCAGAACAGCCTGATTACTAGGTTGCAAAATGCTCACATGGGATAATGTACGCATCTAGTAGTCAAAAACCTACTTCTGCTCTTGCCCCTGAAAACCTGCCAGCAGTCTGGAACCAAAACAACTGTTTCTCTGACACAAAAGAGTATCTTAACAGCAAAAACTTTAAAAAGCCATTCAATAATAAACAAAGTAATCCTTAGGGATACAATAACCACAAATCTTGTGACACTGGAGACTCTCAGCCTTTATTTGGCATAAACATTCTTTGATGAAATGAGCTAAAGCCTATGCCAGATAAAACTTACTAGTTTTCAAGGCACCACTACCTGCTGCTTTTGCAGTAACAGACCAACAGTGTTAACCCCACTAGGGATAAAAGGAATCCTTCTAAGTTTCATATCTAATAATGAAATCCTGGTCTACCTAACATCATTCTTCCTTTCATTCCTAAGGTTTACCTATATGGGAGCTTATCTAAAATGCTCATGGCTCTAAGCTGTCATGAGGACTATTTGGTTTGGGTGCCATCACTTTTACACACAGGAATGGCTGAACTTGATACCTATGATGGCAAGATGTGAACTCCAGCCCTAACTGACACTGACGACTACATAGGACTGGGTTTACACACACGCACGCACGCACGCACGCACGCACGCGCGCACGCACGCACACACACACACACACACACACACGTACATTCATGGCCCAAAATATTGGTACCCTAGCAATTCTGTCAGAAAATGCAGTCCTTCTCTCAGAAAACTGTTGCAGTTGCAAAAGTTTTGGTACTCACATGTTCATTTCTTTGGTTTGCGTTGGAACAACACAAAAAAAGAGAAGAAAAGTCAAATCTGATACAATCCCACACAGAAACCCAAAAATGCACTGGCCAATTATTGGCAGGACAAAGTTCCAAATAGAGTAGTCCTAGAATGAGCTGGAATTTTTAGGATGTATACATTACTGAAACAGTGACATCTACATTGGCTTGGGCATGTGGTGAGAATGGCTGATGGTCAGATTCCAAAAGATCTCCCGTATAGAGAATTATTGCAAGGAAAGTGCCCCAGAGGGAGGCCACAGCTGCGATACAAGGATATCTGCAAGCGGGACGTGAAGGCCTTATGAATGGACCTCAACAGATGGGAAACCTTGACATCTGAGTGTTCAGCCTGGAGGCAGGCGGTGCAACATTGCCTCTCCCATTTTGAAGATACACTCGTTCAGCAGACTGAGGCAAAGAGGCAGTCCCGAAACCAGCAAAATCAGGGAGCTGGACAGGGGACAGGTTGTATTTGTCTTCAGTGTGGAAGGGATTGTCACTCTCAAATTGGCCTTCTCAGCCACACTAGATGCTGTTCCAAGTCCTCTATTCAGAGCACATTACCATAGTCTCTTGAGACTGAAGGATGCCTAATCAATCATCATCATCAAGAAGCATATTTTCTTCATCTTACAAAAATCAATTTTACGCTGTATGTATGTATGTATGTATGTATGTATGTATGTATGTATGTATGTATGTATGTATGTATGTATGTATGTATGTATGTATGTATGTATGTATGTATGTATGTATTCATGGGTATGAACCACTGGTTTATGGTGATCATTTTAATCCCAGGACAACATATACATACAGAGATGGGCACAGTTCATGTTGGTTTGTTTTTGGCGGTTCCCAGTTCTGCCTCCTCCAGAAGGCACCCACTCAGAGGCAGCACCTGGAGGAGGTGGAGCAAGGAGGCCGAGGTGCTGCCTCTGAGTGGGTGCTTGCTGGAGGAGGCAGAGCTGGGAACCGCCAAACACCTGTTCAGCTGAAAAACGAGCCAGCATGAACTGCCAAACTGATGGTTTGTGCCCATCTCGATATGAATATATTGTCCTGGAATTAAAAGGATGAGTACTATTCACTGCATTGGAGCAAGTGGCTACAGAGTGAGAGGCCAGGAGTTGGAATCCCCATTGTGCCACCCAGCAGAGAAGCCAGGTGAGATCACCACAGCTTGTATTGCTGATGAGGCTACCTGATTGGTTCCAGAGTACCACCAGAAAGAGAAAATTGTAAATCTCTTTTGAGTATTTTATACTAGAAAATACACATGAGCTATTTATGTTTGTATCCCTGGG